CTCGTCGACTACCGGTGCCTCTAGCAGAAGAAGAAGAGGAATGAAGGCATGTCAGCCGCACAGCCGGCAGCGGCAGCAAACAAAACACGGCGACACGCAGCGACGGTGGAAGGCACGGCACAAACTAAAAGAAATCCACAGTGATTTACCAAACAAAAAAAGGAACAAAATTAAAGAGGAAGCTCAGGAGGATTCCTGGCGGAAACAAAACAAAAGATAAATAAATTACTTCGGCAGGCGTCTTTTCCTTCGCGTGTCCAAAAGCCCAAGAGGACAGCGTGTGGGTGTATTTGTGTATTTATCACCTGCAAGAAACAAAAACAAAACCACCTGTTCGCACGCACGCATCACGGTTGACCGTCACAGTCTCCGCGGCCTCGTGTCTCGTTTGGGCAGTCCGTGCAACGCACAGCCACGAGGCAGGCACCGCGTGTGCGTGTTGATGGCAGTAGCAAACAGAAGGGGAAGGGACGCCACCCATTGGGATGTGCGTAGCAAACGACCATTGAAACAAACGTAAAAAAAGAAGAAACAAAAAACCCCTCAAAGTGCAAGAGAGACGTTGGCCCACAGGGACGACAAGGAAAGTGAGTACCGTTGGGCGGCTGTTATTAATTTTGTTGTTCGAGGCATCGCAAATGTAGTATCCCGTTCTTTAAGTAGGGAGGGCGGCAATGCCCCACAGCCCCAGTAGAGCCAACAGCAACAGCCGAGCCACACACCCACGCACTGTGCCGTCGCCACTTGTGTTCATCCGCAACAACCCCGTAAAGTTCTTCGAATGAAGAGAGCCGTTTTTGAAGTGCGCTGCCGCACCGGGTACTGGCGGGACGCCTGGCTGCCCAGGCCCGTGATTTGTATTGCGCTCAGAGGCGTCGGTAGAGCCATCCGCTGCAGTTTGGGGTTCTGCGCCATTTTCTTCGGCGGAAACGTTTGGCCTGCCGTTGGTGGGCGTGGCGGAATTAATTTGCACGCCTCCATCGATCGCTGGAGCATGCGACGAAGCTTGCTGCTGCGCCTGATCGTCGTTGGATTCCTTCTGCGGAGAATCGCTGACCACCTGCCTCCCCGTGGCTGATTCGGGGGCGGGAGGCGAGTGCTCGTGTTCCTGCTCAGGGACTTGCCCACTGGCAGCCATCTCAGTTTCAGCTTTTTCGTCTCCAGCGCCCGCAGCCGGTTCTGAAGAGGAGGACGGCGCCGCCGATTTATCACTGCCCTCATCTGCGTGTTTCTCTTCCACTCCCGCTTTATCCTCCTCATCCTCTTCGTCCGCTTTGGAGTCAAGAGAGTCTCCAGCAGGTGCCAGTGTGTCACGTGTTTCTTGTGGTTGCAGACTTCCTTGTTGCTCCGGGGAACCGACGTGGGTTTCCTCTGCGGGTTCCTCGGTGGGTTCATTGGCGTCCTCCTCATCCGCGCTTGGCGGTGCACCTCCCCGGTTGGAGACTCCCGTTTCAGCTTCTCTCCCAGGAGGAGCGGGGGAGGTGTTCGTTAGCGCTGCGAGCTCAGCGGCACTCAGCATGCGGTTGTACAGCAGGGCGTCGGCCACCGTCACGTCAATGCCGCCGCCTGCACCCCCCGCACCGCCACTGCCCCGGCCAAAGTAGAAGTGCGAGATCCTGCGCAACTTCAACAGATTCTGCAACTTGTCAGAAACGCCTTTTCCGTCCTCATCATCATCGTCTTCGCTGTCGTATATACTCGTGCCACCAACGTACACAGCCAGCCCATCATCGTGATCCATCGCCAGTGCCACGTGGTACGTTTTTCCCTCTTCCCACTTTTCGTCAGTCGACAACGCCAAAACCTCACCGTTGAACGTCACCTCCCACTTTTTGTCTTTCGTGTGCGACAGTCCAAAGAGCACAGAATTATCTCCGTCATTCATCTTCGCACCCATCAATGGAATAGAGCCATCGCCGTCCCCGGGCACCGCGTTTATGGTCACCTTCGCCACAAGCGTGAACGCATAATTTGCGAAGTTGTACCGTTGAATCTGCTCCTGCTTGCCCACAGGCCACTCCGCCCCCGCTCCTGCGCCGTTGAACCTCAGCCCGCTGGAAGTACCTTCCACCTTGCCATGCACTGTTGCATCCACGCAGAGGTACTCGTCCTTCCACTTGCTGTCAGCATCAATTGACTTGCTAGACAAAAATCCAGCCAGCCCTTCAGTGAGGGCACCAGTGCCGACATCCTCATCTTGTGGCCGTAAACACTTTTCATCCGTGCAGTTGTAGCTCTCCATAACGTGCTTGTCCTTTTCCTTCCAAGCCTCCAGCACCTTCTTTATTTTTTCCAACTCCGCCTCCAACTCAACAAAAGCAATGCTGCGTTGGTCCTTAGCAGTAACCTCGTAGGCACAGTACAGCTCCCCTCCCTCTCTTCCCTCCTCCGATGCGGTGTGCAGCAGCGTACTGGCGGCGGCGTGCTCTCCCTGAATGGAGATCGGTCCAACATCATAAATTCGTTTCATGTCGGTGAGCCACAAGTGCAGTTTCCCCTCTTCTTCTTCTTTTGCCCCGGCAGAGTACACCGGCTGGCTGAAAAGAATGACTTTCTTCTCATCGATGGTAGCGGAAATAAAGCCGCCCTGGACGCCGTCCTTTGCACGGTCTGGTGAGTTGCCCCACACGCGCGAAAGGGTGTTGACAGCCTCTGTCCATGACTTCCCTTTAGAAGTCGACCAGTACACTCTGCGGGAGCCGTCCGCACACGACGTCATCATGAGGAGTTCATTTTCTTTCCACTCAAGCACGGCAGGCTGGAGGCAGCCGGCATCACTCACCTCCCCCGAGAACTCCCAACCGTACGAAGTAGATTTTGCAAGGATGAGCAAAGAAACCTTCTTCCCATCATCCTTCAAAGCCTGAACAGGCAGCACAAAGGATTTGTCCCCCAGCCGAATTCCTGCGCCACCACCACCCAAAAATTGTTTGAAGGATCTTAAACCCGCCAAAACAGTGGTGGAGACAGGCGAAGTGCTTTGCTGATGCCACCCAAACGTCTTTTTCCGCCCATTATCATCTATCAAAACCTTTCCATTCGCCTCCCTGGGAGACCAATAGACGCCCGCAGTCTCCGCAGTCAATGGTTCCCCTGAGTCGCCGTAGCAGCCAAGAAGAACATCCACGTCGTTGTCCTCCACAATGGGCGTTGGACGCAGCATGCGGTAAACCTGCACGTCATAGTGATCGAGCACTATCGCACTCCCCTCTGTCCACGTCCTTTCATCATTTTGCATCGACTTCGCGGCAATACCAACATACAACTTTTCGTCCGTGGCACTTTTGTAATGCGCCTCAGCGAACGCCACAACCACGCCATTTACGCTGACCAGAGAAGGGGCAAAGAACGAGTCAAACTTCTGCTTCATTGTGGAATTTTCCGCATCAGTCATTTCTGTCACCCCTCCCTCAAACAGACTGACTCTCGAGTTACTCCCGTTCGCGTTCACAGCCTCGCTGCTGCCACACATCATCAGCAAAAAAAGAAACAGCAGCATCGCAAAACAAAACAGCTGCCAGCACATGTTGGGCATGTGTTGCTGCCCTCTTTCTCTCTTCCTTCCCTCCTTGCAGTGGATCCGCTCAGGCCGCGACGGAGTGTGTGTGGTGTATGCGCTGACAGCAGCAGCGGCACCTCAGTGTGCGTGTTGTTGGTCGTGACAGCAAAGCCCCCAAAGCGCACAGTAGTTATGAAGGTGTAGTCTCCTTCCTTCTCTGCGTGTGTGGGAGAAAAAAGTGAGGAGCGCAAAGTAATAAGGAGAGCAAAAGGACCAAATAACGGCGCCCCCACAGTTGGGCATCCCGCAAAGCACAGCAAGAGCCCATAACGAAGGCCGCACCGACGAACGCGCGAACCGCAGAATCACACATTCGCCACCGCCCACAAGAGACGGCAGCCGCAAAGAAGGCGGCGGTGGGAGCGACTG